GCTGTTGGGCCTGCAAAGCGACTGCAAGGCGCCAACAGCGAGGTTCTGCGGAGCGCGACGTTCTGCGCAGCGATGTTCTGGTGGAAGTGGAAGAGCCCGATGGGAGGCACGAATTCTTCGTATGGAATCGAATGAAGTCAACACGGCGGTCCTGTGGTCAGTGTGTTGAAGATATACCACTGGTGGTGTAGCTTGTTGCTTTCAGTTTAGTCCTTCGCTTTGGATTTGCCTTCCAGGTTCCTCCAACGAAACCCCATGAGCCTAAGACCAATGTCGATCTCCGGTATTTCTTCAGGTTTGTAGGCAGATGCTGGCGACATCTTGCGACCATCAATGGGTCCATGTTCAGTGCCTGCGCTACTTGTCCATTTCACCTGGGGTCGAACTACAAAATCACCATCGCTACTCGGGTGGAGGCCATCACTACTAATTAGGGTGGAGACCATCACTACTAGGGTGGAGGCCATCGCTACTACGGTGCAGGCCATCGCTAGTAGCTTGGACGCATTTGGAGGCCATCGCTACTATAGGGTTGGAGGCCGCTTAGGTCTGTCGCTTCGCCCACCGCTACTCGTAGCCGAGTCTACGAGCTCACAGCGGCCTGGCCGTCGCGTCAGGCCTCTCAGATCCGGACGGCCTACCGAAAGCTGGCGTTGCTCATCCACCCTGCCACTGGGCCGTGACCAGAAGGGGCGACAGGCGGAGCTGACAGGGCCGGGGTCGGTGTCACAGCTTTTCAGGATCTTGCAGGTACGTCATGGGTGCTGAAAGGGCAGCGTGAAGCTGTGATAGCTATGAATAGCTATGATAGAACGGATTTGTGTCCAGCAATGGCTTGAGGACGGCAAGTTTCCTCACAAAACGGTTTGCGTGATTCGATCCTTGCTTATTCTGCAAATGCGCCCTGCAGCCTCCTCACGCAACCAGATACTGCCGCAACACCCCCATGCGTATGCAATCCGTCTGCAGAGAACCACAAACCCAAGAAAAGCTTGACCACCTGTGTCATGCATGTTTGGTTTGGTGGACACGCCTTTCTTCAAACTGGACATCCAGACAATGATCCAGGCATGTCTAGGCACTCCTTGTTTTCATCCCATCATCCAGACTCCAGACCAAGGGTGTTGTGCTACCACGACGGCAAAACCAGGGGGAACTACTGACCCATCGTGAACGACCTCCACGAATTCATGTCTTCTGCACTTCTCAACTTTCCATCAACATCTCCTATAGTGGGTTTTCTTGCACGACGTAAAGCAGATCCGGAGCCATCCTTTTGACTGGGGGGAGACCTCCGATCCCAGGACAAGAACCCAGGCTCGGAAGCTCAGTGTAAAGAGGCCCTCATCAAGCTCCAGCAGGGCCGAGAACAGGTGCGGTGTCGTCTGTTCGAGCCTGTTCGCCTGTGCGCCCCCTTTGAGAGAAGTCGATGTTTGGTGGTTTAATGATGCGGATGCAGGCCTTGGTTCTGCGGTTTGTATGAAAGACTTCGAGTAGGTGGCCCAATGGATGATTGGGGCTTCAAGTGTCGCACAAAGGACCTGAGGCCAGGGGACCCCTGGGCAGTGAGTGGCGCGCACGTTGGAACAGCGAACGCATCTGCAGGTAGCAACTCATGTGCAGGTGCTCACCTGATGCAAAAACATCGCGTCCGGTGGGACACAACTCGATTTGCCCTGAAAACCTTCGCGCACAGGCCGAAAGTGATCTGCAGATGCGAGCGCCCCATGGCCAGCAAGATGATGTTTTTTTGTTTGGAGAACTCGGTTACCTCTCAGCATGGCCCATTCCAGATCACCAAAAAGCAGCTGAAGTCGGGCTCTCGCGTTGCATCCCCTGGCTCTTCCGGGTGAGGCGCGGCGGCCCGAAGAAGACGGACACCTTCAACATGGCTGCTGGGGGCCCCGGTCGGTCCGTCGGGCTGTTCGGGTCAGTGTTCGACCACCGGTGTAGGCGGATGTTTCGAGAGCGATGCTTCCCCGTCACCACAGAAGGAAAGAGAGAGAGAGAGAGAAAGAACGTTTGTTATCGTTTGTTTGCAGCAGGACTCATTTTGAGAGCCTAGACCTGGATACCCGGAGGCTTGTGCATTCGACGCAGACCTGGCATGAAAAACGCATAAAAACGCCATGCCTCCGCTCGCCTCGGCCCGTACGTCTCGCTCGAGGATTTGGACGAAACGAAGCCTTCGAACAAGTGCCCGTATCCAGGCGTGGCCAAGTCGGTCATGGTCGAACCAACGGGTGGGGCGGGGCAAGCGATGGGCGAAGTGGAGATGGGCCGGGCAAGCGGCCAAGCGACCGAGTATCTCTTTGCTGCAGTTGTAGGAAAGCTGCGTTGGGCCACCGGGCGGCCTATTCTAAATTGTGCAAGGGAAGATCGAGATGTTGAGATGTTGAGGGAAGCATCAGACCATATCAGACCCTTGAGATCCGAGTTCCTTCTCGAGGCAATCGCGTCAAGGTGTCCTCTTGCACAACTTGGCCATAAGGCACCACTGCCGCGGAAGCTCTCAGAAATATCAAAGTGAATGAGAATAATGAGAGGCCCCTGGCGCTCACGGCCCCGGCCCCTGGCGCCAGGTTGCGATCTGCCCCCCTGCAAGCAGTGCCCCAATCGATGTTGTACTCGTCACCTGGCGGTGAGCTGGGCGAGCGAAGGAGCGGGGGAGTAAGAAGACTGGCCGACTGGCAGGCGGAACTGCTACTTGAGACCCATCAAGGCCTTGCACGATGGGATGTATCACAGGTAGTTGGCCTTTTTGGGGTGCTTAAGATCCCAGTACACACTCCTCCCACACTCCTGCCCATGGAAAAGGGGCCGGCAATCTGGATGATGAGACCATGTGGAAGAGTGCTTTTCGGTCCTCGGGGCTGTAGTTGCTTCAGCAGGGGACCAAATTGCACTCCAAGGGGGGGCCTCTTTTGGCATATTGAAGGTTGAAGCAACCAAGGTCTGACCAGAGTTCCTTGGATTTTCTTCAGGGCCACCTGATCCATTCGGACTGGGCATTCGGAATAGCGCGCGGTTTGGCTTGCGAAAACCCTCCGCGTGCGAAACGGGCGAAACGAAGGGAGGCCCGCAGCGTGATCCCATCCTGCTGAGGCAACATCACGCATTGTCACATGGTGGCGCGCAGCCAGGGACACCCAGCGGGCCTCTGAAGGGATTCAACGATCAGCCGAGAGCAGTTCAATCACTAGATCAATCGAAGATAAATCGATAGGTGGGCAGGTAGAGAAACATGTGGAGGAGTATGTTCATGAGTGCTTGAAGCTGCTTAGTTTACTTCAGTTCTTCATGCGTTTTTTCCAGGTCTGTTGCCTCGTATTTTTTTGTGTTTGTTTCAATTTATGCTATCTATACAACACAGCTCTCATCCCCACGGAGGCCTCCCCACCCAAAAAAAGCGCTGTTTGCCTTTTCCAATGACCCATGACTCGTCATGCTTATTTTCTTGGGTGGCCTTTGGACCGCTTGCGCATCGTGGGGGGACCTGGAAAAGGTCGAAGCCTCGACGTCGATCGACGTCACGAACCTCGGCCGCCGCAGGTAAGGGTGGATTGCATTGCTATTTCCATCCGCCGCCCAGATCCTGGGCTCGCAACGCTGAGGCCTAGGCGGGCTCCGATGGACGAAGGGAGGGCGAACGCATGGACGAACGCATGGTGGTGATGCGGGCGAGGGGGGTGGGGCTTAGGTGGGCTGGTTCACGCATAGAGTTTGTCCATGGGGCATTGTGATTGAATCTATTTTGGGCATTGAAGAGCCAAAAAAATACGGGGTTCTCAACTGGGCACAAGCCATCCAAAGAAGATTGTCGGTTTCCGTGTGTGCAACTGGCTGTTTCCAAGGCATCCTGGAGGCGGGTCGAGAATCTTGCTGTTCGATTTGGCTTGGTGCCGATGGTAACGGTCCAGAAATCAGCAAAAGAACTTGGAGCTCACCATGTGTTTCATGTAACACCTCCAGACAAGCGACCAACCTTGCTGAGAAGGACCCTCCAGAAAACAGAGCTGCAACCCAGTCAGCCAGTCTAGTGTCTAGTGCTGCAGGTGGTTTGGCTGTTTCCACGTCAGGTTTCATAAGGATAAGGAAGGGGCCCTCGAACAAGGAAATGGGAATGGAAAGGCTCTGAGCATGCGTTCGCATCCATTTTCGCTGCGGATCAACCAGCAACGTCATCGTGAAGCAGTTGTAGCAACCTCTGAGATGCATTTCCATTGGAAAAGGGGGCTGGGGGTGTTCCCTGTCTACTTGGGGGGCATCAAGCTTATCCAAGAGAACTAGGAAGAAGAAGCATACGGCTTCACCTCACACATCCCCAGTGGCTTCCTTTGCTGGAGGCTCGTCGATGGCCACATATGGCCGTCACGTCCTGCGTGAGCGAGGGGGAGAAAAGGGGCGGCCAAACCAAGCGCAGGATGAGCCATGAAAGGTGTGTGGGGTATGGCAATTCAAGATCATTGATGCGGTCTTTCCAAGGGTTTTCGGGATCAAACCATGGTACTCTTTGTGCTGCAGGTGATCGGGTATGAATGCCAAAAGCAACTTAAAACAACTGAAACAAATCTTTGAAACACCTCTTTGAGTCTTTGAGCAACGTTCTCAGGCAAGATCAAGTACTTTCTCGTGTGGCAAGACTTGTTCTAGACTTGCACCAGCATGTTGCGCTTTGAGTTTAAGTTTGCTACCTGAGAGGTTAAAGGCCGCCCTGCACTCACCTTTATTGGAGAGTCCCAGTACTACTCACCCTGATGTCGATGTTCAATTTAAAGCTTCCCGGAAGCTTGGGGAGATAGTCATAGTGGTGCAGTAAATCATGATAGCCAGTGTGATGTCATTGTTTGTTTCAGCGCCGTAGATCTTCCATCATCTTCCATCCTTGGAACCGATCTTGCCACATGAAGAAAAGACTCGCACACTCGTACCACTGCCACTTCGCTTTCACTGGCTTGAGCACCGCCCCACCAGGCCGCGACCCACGTTCGCCCGACTTCGGCTCCAGTGCTGAAACCGGAGTTCCCGCCCGCCGAACCGGCCGAGTCTGCACCCGGACGGTGCCCGCCGCCATGCCGCAGCGGAAGACACCGCCGTTGAGCCCATCGGAGAGTGTGGCAGGCGGAGCCGAGACACGGAGCGGTGGGAAGAGGTGGGAAGAGCCTCGGTGCGGAGCCCCATCCCCGAGGGCTTGCTGCAAGGGTGAGCGGTGGTATTATTTCGTGTGTGTGTGTGTGTCTTTGCTTTCTTTGAGCTTTGATTGGTCTTCTTCAACACCCGGTAATTACGGGGTACTGGGATCTGAGCAGAGTCAGCCACTTTGGGTGGAAAATGTGTGAGATCCCGACATGCTTCACCTGCAGCCTCAGCATTCCGTTTCCACAGTTGGAGAAGAATAGATCAGAATCTTTGCACCTTCCCGTTCGCACCACGCCCACTTCCACCGGTGAGAAAAGAAGGCATGCTCGATGGGCTTGCGACCTTCCGGATGGAGTTCGTAGCCAAGCAGGAGCAGCTTTTGTGGCTCGGCAGGGTTGGAAAAGAGGCATTTGTGCTCCCAGGGGCTTTGAACTGGATGTGGCCTGCGACAACAAAGAAGCAACTCAAGGCCTTGAATGGCCCATTCGAAGGGTATGATGGGGGGGTATTACTTTAGATCCTACATTAGGGTTGCCAAGACTGCTTCCCTCTTTGGGTGTTTTCAAGGCCCCTAGTAGTGCCCTGGTTCATCACCCATTGATTGGCTCACCTGGATGTTCTCAAAAGATTGGTGGACTGAGGAAGAGTTTGGATCGGGAAATGGAGAAGGCGCAGAAACCCGACCGGCGTGGCGCGACCCGTGGCGTGACCGTGGCACCGGGACTGAAGTCTTCCGGATGGGGGGTCTCCCCAACCCAGACCCTCGAGAGGCTGGTCCTGGGGAAGCAAGAGTCCAGGCGCCCAAAGTTAGGTGTATGATTCTTGCAGTCCTTCTACGTCAAGAATCACTGTTCGTTTGTGCTTTGCCGGATTGCTCATCTTGATGCCCGGAGGTCCAATGGGCCACGAGGCCTCCGCTTCCCCGTCGCGAGGCCAAGCTGCTGATGCCCTTGCCGCGGGAAGGGGCTTCACCGCCAACGATGCCTATGACGCACAACGCCTGGAGCAAGGCGGTTGGGGGGGGCACAGATGGAGAGGATGAAGAAGGTGGAGCTTCTGAACGCCCGAACGGTGGGAGCTCAAAAATGAAACATAGAGAATCAGCAGGGGTGATTAGGGCGATCTTGGAAAAGATGGGTGTGAATCCTGGCTGTTGCATCTGAATTGTGGTCCAAGCATCAGATAGAGCTGGCTCCACCTGGAAGGGAGTTGGCTTACCCAAATCGGCCCAAGCTTCATTAAACACAACCATTGAGTCATTTGTTGAACTTATTGAGACATCATGGCGCGGACAAGCGAAGTCATGTCAACACGAAAAAGAATCGCGATCAAAAATATTTCTAAAACGAGATGCATGAGATGAACCCCCTCACAATAGAGACTATAACACAATAGAATACAATAGATGTATTGTCGATCGACCTCAGTGACAAATAGATTCAGCCGTTCACATAATATGCAGCTATGCTAGTCAATGGCTAACCCTTCAACCTTGTTTCGACATTGCGACATTGGCATTGAGGCATTAACTTAACATGTCCCTTCGTAGGTTGAGCACCCGTGCTAATCAGGAACAAGGCTTATCCCAGGTGCAGGCTATTGCTTTGGGAGGGGAATGGCCAGATGTGGAGTCGCTTTCGCTTGGCCATCCAACCGTTGTGCCTTCCTGCAGGACAAGGCGACGGCAGCCACAGTGAGCAGTTTGCAGCTCCCCGGAGCCGTACCAGACATTGAGGAAGAGACAGAGGAGGAGGAGCGGTTCAGCTGGCTTGACCAGGTGAGAGGAGATATATATAAAAGTTATAAGTAAGTTACTTTTAGCCCTTCCCTGAAGCTCTGGCCGCTCTGGCCTGCCTGTGCTGAGTGCATGATATTTGTCACTGTTATATATATATATATACAGTTTTAAAAAAAATATATACAGTATACTATATATATATTACACTTGGCCAGACGGGATCTTTTCACCCAGTGAACGTAGCATATTTAGTGGTCCCCAAATAGATAGAAACCGTGTCCAAACCATGTTTAGTGGGGATCTACTTTTCTATCCCTTTGGGGGGGTCTATATAATCGTCCATGGTGACTCAAATCGTCGACCGATAGGTTTCGGTCAAGTGATTTGGAGTGAGATTCACGCACTGCGCCTTTGGGGTGTTTGACAAGCTGCTTGGGCTTTGTGACCGCAGGAGGTCCCTGAGAAGAAGGGTGTCTTCTCTGCAGGGCTGCGCCTTGAACAAAGGTCATGGATTTGGGCCACACGCCCACGATCGCATGCACAAGCAACATAGTTCTTTTTGAAGTCCCCTGCAGGTGCATCAACGCTTGAGCCGCTCAAGGCTCAAGACTGAGGCACCTTGAAACGGGTCTTCCATGTTGTTTCCATCAAAGGAATGGTGTGCAACGATTCCTCTTTCCCCTCTTCGGGTATATAGGAGTATTTGGGGAGGCCTTGTGACAAAGAGGCCTCAGCAGCTACTGTGGAGTACCAGTTGGCCAGCAGCATTGGCTATAGTTGCCTTCTTCATCACTCTTGTGGAACAAAAGGATGTTTACACTCTGACTTCTCAGCATGGAAGTGCAAACCACACGGTGTGTAGTGGAAAATCGATAAAAACCGCCAAAGGCCATTGGTCCACCTCCATGAGTGCTTCAGGGCGCGTATATATTCTCTCTTTGGATTCAGGCCCCTTCGGCCGTTTAAGGCGACACCCAGAGGTGGGGCCTCTGAGAGGTGTCTCCAAGGCCCGGAGGTCCGGGGTGTTCAGTGGTTCCTCCCCGAGCCCTAATGAGGGAAAGGTGGAGCACCTTTAAACCGTTTGGGGATGGAGTTTGCAAATGTTGGTTTCCCTGCGAAAGATGCACAGATGGACAGTTCGGCTTAAACTTGCTTCTTTGTCCAAGGGGAATAACACTCTCCGATCGAGCCAGCCCATTTCATCCCAGGCCCTCGATCGCGGAGCTGCGGAAGAAGACCATCCCGTGGATCCACAAGCAGGCGCCACCGGCGCGGCGCGCGGCGAGTGCGGGAGCGAGGGGCGTGCTTGTGGGCGCAAGGAGCGAGGGGCGGGTTTGGGGGAGCTTTTTGGGGGGTGAGAAGCCACGGTGTCACGTGTGTCCACATCGCACCACTGGTCCACAGGCTGGTAATTAGGCACTGTCTTGAGCAACCTGTAAGCTACTGCATTGCTTTCCTCTTGGACGATTGGTCAGATAGCCTCAGATCGGCCGTGACTGGTGACGAGAGGCAGCAGCCCAAGCACCCGCACGCTCGCCACGTGGCCAGCGCGCCGGACCACTCCGGGCGAGAAAACAGTATGGCACTTATTCGCCTTCAGAAACTCCTTGGTGAGGATGCTGAACAAAAGGATCATAAATCATAAATGATCATCCTCAGCTAGATGATCATCGTCAGGTATTAGAACAAGTACGGTGATTTCCTGCAGATTCTTCTGTTCTCATGCAGCTCACCCAAGCCTTCCGGAAAGACTCCCGATTTCGTCATGAAGCCTATGGGCCCTGGGCCTATAACCTGGGCCCGAGGGCGGTGGGTTCCAAACACTACGGTGAAAAAGGTTCTACATACCCTAGTAACAGTAGAAATCCTCAGAAAAAATAATAGAAGTCTTCATGACTCGAGACCATCCCCGCCGCTTGGGAAAGAAGTTTAGATGTTTTGCGCTCTATAAACCTCTCGGTGTGGTCCAACTGAAGCGCTGCCCCCGCAGCATGAAGAGCCACGACTGGAACAGCAGAAATCGCCAGGGCACTCGCCTCATGGAGAAGGAAGAGGGGCATCGGGCCTTCTCAGAGCAGCTCGGATGGCCACTGCAAGCAACAGGCAAGGGATGACCAGGAATTCTCCGAGGCAAAGTTGGGGGGCAAAAGGTAAACAGCAAAATCGTTTTTAGTCCCAAAGCGGGTGAAAGTGTTTGGTGTCTTTTGGATGTGCATTGCTTTGCTTTGGCAAAGTCCCACAGGTTTGGCTGGTGTAGGGCATACTTTCCTACCATGTCATCATGCTCAAAGGAGGCGCCCATGTTCGCTTCGCGACCAGATTTGTGAAATGCAGAATGGATATAAGCCCTAGCTTCCAACAACCATTAGTTTAATAGGCTTTACCGAATCAACTAAGGATTCTACACTACAAAAACCAGGTCAACCATTGTTTAAATGGTCTTGGAAGCCTAGGGTAATTATATAAATATGTTTGAATGGGTGGATTTCTGGATGAATCGGTTGATGTCTCCGAAGACCTATGGGAAGCTATGAAGAGACAGGCCACTGGAACTGTCCCACCTCAAGTTGCTGCTCACCAACACCCGGATCTCGCCACTCACCACCTCGGTCTTCAGATGGCCGGGTTTAAGAAGACGACATGACAAGTGCGAAAAGAAGCAGAAAGGTACACTCCGACTATCTCCGACTCATCAATAAAACCCCCTTGAAAGCAGCCTTCTTTTGGTAAAAGAAAGTAACTAGTCTTGCAAGGGACCATTGGTGAGTCCGAATGTAGAGATTGAAGGTTCTGTTCACCCACGGCTGTGAGTTAGCAGCGGTTTTGGACCTCCAGGGCCCTGGCAAAAGCGGCTGAGTTCATGGTCATTGCTGCCAAATCCAACCACCCTTTTGCTGGATGCGGGTGTCCCCACACCCCAACCACCCAGCCAACCACCACACAAGGCAAAGTCAAAGCCGCTGCCGCGCCGGAAAAACCTTCCGACGCCCCCGGGGACCCGTTCGGTCGAGCAGAGAGCACTGGAGACCGCGCGCGCCTGCACGCCCGGCCACCCAGGTTAAAGCCCGAGTTCGCCACTGCCCGGCTGAGGTGGCCCGCACCGGACGAACCGGACGAAGCGACCGAGTGGGTGAACTCGTATCTTAAGTCGAAGGGAGTCGAAGTGGAGATGGACATCCGAAGTGGGGCTTTGCAGTCTCGTTGGGTTTGGGAGCTTTCATCGAAAGGATTCGAGAAAGTTGATGGATGACCTGCGCAGGTGCCAGAACATGACATGCTCTTCAAACTACTGGCCACTCTTCACTCTGTGATAGTTGTGGGTTTTGAGATGTTTTTCAAGTTTTGAGTCTTTAACATCTTGAGCATTGTTTTGGAATGTGGCGAATAAACTTCTGATGTGGCCACCTGCTGGCAAATCCAGGTGCAATCTGATGTCGGAAGGCATCAGTGGGACGGCCGTTTTCCGCAGACCTCGTTCGTTCGCTCCCACCCTCCGAAATCTGAATTCAGTTCTGAACGAAGCGAGTCAAACTGGGTGTGTGGCTCAGATCGGGCCCCCCCAGGCATTCCGACCCTCCTGGGTTCGGAAGATCGACCCGTTCAGCCAGCGATGGCCGAGATCGCTCCGTCGCTCCGAGTCTCGCCATCGCCCAGGCGTCGCTCCGTCGTGGTTCCGTCGATGGTCTCGAACGGATGAATGATGGGTCTCCCACCGTCTGATGGTGATCAGCGTCACGGGTCCGGCGAAGCCGGACGCCGGGGCGGGACGTCGGTGGCTGCCGGACCGGTGAAAACCGAAAACCCCTTCGAAACAGGAAGAAACACACTGAAATCACCCCATGGGTCAACATGGATGACACAGCCCGGAGTTCGGATGACCTTTGTTTTCCAAATACCACACAGCTGGTTCGGTTCCACTTCGATGATTTCAGAGAGTGCACACCTTTCACCTCACCTGCCAACGCAGTCGCTCTGGACGGCAGAGGTCTGCGGCTGCAGAGGAGTTCCCATCGGAGAATGTCTTCAGGACACGCAGGGGGGGCGGATGAATCCAACAAGGCAGAAGGTGATGAAGGTGATTTATGTATATAACTATAATATATATACAGTGGTTGCAGAGTAGATGGCACAGACCTCAAGATGTCTTTTACATGGGGGTTCATATAAACCACTTCTTGGGGTCTGTGCCATCTACTCTCAACCCACTGTATATATACGTTTTGCAGCAGGTGCCGATGAACAAAATTCAACTACTCCTGAGTATGCAGGGGAAGTTGGATTTCCATCCCGAAGTTGATGAAACAGCAGCCCGCCAAGAATCGGCTTCTTTGGGTGCTCTCTTGGAATGACCAGGGCCTCCACTCTCTGACCAGACCTGCTAGCCGGTTTGAATGAGGATCACATGCACCAAAAGGGGTTGTGAGGGATGGGATTTTGCTGGGAGACGGAGCTCCATGACAATTTGTGAATAATTTCCACTCGGTCCACAACCTTTCAACCCTAGTGTCTCCTTGTTACTAGCTCCAACCCAAAAACGACCTTGTTACTAGCAGTAATGGCCTCCAGCCTGACAATTTGTATGGACTGTCTCAACGTCAATTAGCCCAGCTGGAGACCCCAATAGCAAGATACAAACCGGGACAAAAAGAAAAATCTGGAAACAGCTGCTGTGTTCAACACATCGACCATCTCTTCCTTGGACACCATCATCACATAACCGGGACACCATCACAAAATGACCAGGGCACCATCAAAACTTAAACATGACCGAGACACCGTCACAACATGATTGGGACACCATCACAACATAACCGGGACACCATCACAAGGTGACCGGGACACCAGCATGACATGACGGGGACACCATCACAACATGACCGGGACACTATCACAACATGACCGGGACACCGTCACATGACCCGGACACCATCAAAACATAACCGGCACA